GGGGGGGGGGAGGATGTGATGAGATCAAATGGGTCATATGCATGGCGCTATGATACTAAGCCGGGATGACTTGAGGAATTATTTATGCATAAGTTTTCACATGGACTACATAACATGCATCGGGCTCCGGCTTTTCAACACCCCAATTTACTCACTGATCATTCTTTTGGCTTACTTTGAATGAGATTTTGTTCGACCATAGTGCGAAATAACCAATTTCATCATGGGCGTCTCTGAACTGTTTGAAAAGTTTGTCAAAAGGACCAAAACATATAAGCCAGATCCCAAAAAGCCGAATAAAGCTTTCCAAACGGGATTGCGGGATTTGTTTGTTCCACCGTCACAAGATCCTCTCATTGAGTATGTTGAGTATGAGCTCCTCAGAGCCTATGTTCACCCGCAGGTTTCTGACTGAATTTTAGCATCGTCCTAATCCACGACTTAACCGCGGGTCGTGATGACTCCTGGGACTCGGAAGGCTCGGATTCTTTTTGGCTAGCTGAGCTTTGTGATGATGAATCAAAAGCACACATTGCCGCATTCGGATACGATGCCCAGGAGTGTCAGGTGATGGACGACATCATTAACCACGATCGATTGAAGAGATTTGCAGAGGCATTGCTGACTGCTTGTCCTTTGGAAATGAGCCAGACCAATAATGACCGACCGATCATTTTTGTTGCCCATGGCTTCGGCGGTCTTGTATACGAGATGGCATGCGCTTATTTCCTTTGCATCCTTTCGAATATCCCGGTTTTCCTCCTTCCTGGCAAATTCTTGTCGTCTCCCTCTCTTTCTGGGTACTAACAACTTCTGCAGGCTCTCACTCTTGCATTCGAGCGAAATCGTGCACAAAGAAGACACGCGGCTGTCCTTCTCGACACACCCCATCATGGAGCTGGCGTGGCAGAATGGGCAATTATGTGTGCCAAAGAGCTTGGAGTACCATGTGCAAATACAGCTCAAGAGCAAGACTGGTCTGATTGGAATGAATCCTTCGCTGAAATCGATGCCACACAGAAATTGTTTCGAGGCATCATTCAGGAGCACATGAGCATTAAAATTGCAGGATGTTTCGCAACCAAACCAATTAAGGAGACGAAACTGGTGAGCTGAAATCTTTCATAATTTCAGCAGGATTCATCCGTCGCAATTGGGCTTCAAGCTAAATTGTTACAGATACTGTCGTCCGAATGGGCGGTCTTACCAGAATTCCGAGCGTTTGCTCTTGGCGGTACCCATCTTGACATGACAAAATGCAGAAAAGATGATGCTGGCTGCAAAATGCTCTTGGCAACACTCCAAAGGTGGTCCAGGGATTTAACAAAAGGCAGGATTGATCACTCTGATTTGGGCGAGCATCAAGTCCCTACAGGGACGATTGATCTCTCGGACAATTCCGCAGTAGTCACGCCGCAAGTAGATGTTGCACCAGTGACTGGCGCCTTCGATGATGATGTCGTGGCACAGCTCAAGAATAGGAATTGGCGTATCAAGTTGAAAGCAATCAACGAGCTTCGGCATGCGCCTGGCCTCTCGGAAGAAATCCTCGAAATTGTCGCAAGGCTGCTGGAAGATGACGACCTGGATGTCAGAAAGGCAGCGGCCGTAATGCTACATTACCACTCGTCTTCTTTGGTGAAGTCTGTTACATTCGTTGTGGACTATCTCAAGTACCGAAGGGGCCTGTACCAAAATTCACAAGTGGTGTGCGGAATTCTCAACGCACTGAAATCTCAATTGGACATACCAATGGAGATCCTCCAAGCTATTGTGGAAAAGCTTAGGACACCGAGTACAGATATAGATATGTGGGAAAGTGCTATGATTCAGGAAAGCGCTATCAACGTGCTTAAAGCTCAGCCGGACCTACCGACAGGAATATTCCAAAAGCTTGTCGATTGGTTTATGGTAAAACATGAGGAGGATCTAAGAAAAGCTATCCAAGACGCTCGTACGACAGAGTTTCCCAGGAAACAAATGAATCTTTTGCCTAGCCGACAAATGAGTCTTTCTCTTCATGCTGCATCGTCTGGAGATCGCCATATTGAAGCGGGACGTGGCATTGTGTTGGGCGTGCTCAACATTTTCAAATGTCAAACACATCTACCAAAAGATATCGTCCGAGCTATGGCTGTCCGGCTGGAAGGTAAGCCTGAGGATAGGAATGTTACCAAAGCCATTCTAGGCGCGCTTGAATATCGGTTGGATCTACTTCCAAAGGAAATCCTCCCATCTATCGTGGCACGGCTCAAGCATAAAGATTTTGAAATTCGACAAGCAGCTTTCAAGACTCTCCAACATCAATCATCGCTGCCAGAAGGAGTCCTTCAAGTTATAGTGGCCCAGCTTGAGGACCAAGATTGGCGCATTCGAGAAGCAGCTATCAAAACTTTCCAACATCAATTATCGCTGCCAGAAGAAGTCATCCAAGCTAGCGTAGACCGGTTCGAGGATCACTTTTGGAGCGTTCGAGAAGCAGCTATCAAGATTTTCCAAGGTCAATCATCGCTGCCAAAAGAAGTCCTCCAAGCTATGGTAAACCGATTCGAGGATCAAGATTGGCGCGTTCGAGAAGCAGCTATCAAGACTTTCCAAGGTCAATCATCGCTGCCAAAAGAAGTCCTCCAACCTATCGTGGCCCGATTTGAGGATGAACATCCGCTTGTTCGAGAAGCAGCTATCAAGACTTTCCAAGGTCAATCTGTCAAAATGTAGGAATAAGTGGAGCGCTTCTCCACACGTGTATATATCTTTGACCATCCAACCTCTGTTGGATGTGAACAACTCAACTGATACATCAACTATTACCCATACCTATCATATCTTTTCATACAATCATTGCTGCCAAAAGAAGTCCTCCAAGCTATCGTGGCCCGATTTGAGGATGAAAATACGCTTGTTCGACAATCAGCTATTCAATCCCTTGAAAAACAATTATCGCTTCCCCATGAAGTCCTTGAAGCCATCATGGCACGGCTCGAAGTCGAGGATGAGAATTACGCGGTTTGTCGCCAAGCTATCGGCGTGCTCCAACATCAGACGATCCTCTCCAAAGAAGTGACTAAGATGATCACACAGCTTGAGAAATTTACTTCTCGAGTTCAACCAGATATAATCTCGATATTCAGAGTGAGATCAGATCTGCCAGAGGACGTCATACGAGGCCTCAAAGACCTAGTGAACCACAAGTCTCTAGAGGTCCGTGAAATAGCAGCGTGGACTCTTAGACAGCAGCCAATACTTCCACGTGATGTCCTCGAAGCAGTTATAAGACAGTTGGAGGATAGGGACGAAGCTAAGATACGAGCAGCAGTCGGCATTATGGACAGAGGACGGACGCTTGATGGCGAGCTCATTGATCTCATTATAGATTGCTCCCGAGACAAATACCCAAGTACACGGAAGGCTGCAGTCGATGTGCTTGGACGTCAGCAAGATTTATTGCCAGCAGCCGTCGATGCGCTTAAAGCGCTGGTCGAAGATACGGACGTAAACGTTGGAGACGCAGCGATCGAGGTTCTAAAGAAGCATCGAATACCCTTAGCATAAGATCCTTATTCGATCGCGAGCCCACAAAGGAACACCAATATTATACTGCGCAGTCAGAAATAGGACATCATTAGAGCTAATTTTTATTTTTCCTGGTTTTCACGATCGAAGTCGGAAACCAGTGATTCTGCGAACTTGAGACATTAATGATCCCGGATCTGAAAAATGGGTTCTTGTTCTCGCCGCCGGATATATCTGGCATAGCAGCCTTTTGCGTTCATGCAGAATCGTTATTTGTACATATCATCGGATGACTCCTGCGAGTACAAACAGGGTAACATCCAATGCGGACGCCAAGGGGTGGTTTAAATGGCAGTATGCTCCAAGTACTTCATGGGAAACAACTATGGGCATGAGGGACCGAACTTCTAGGGAACCTACGATCTTGAAGAGAGAGGTACTGAAGAGCTATCCAATAACTCCGTGCAAGTAAGCTGCAGTGGAGTAGGGACTACATCAGTGCAACGACTTCTTACTGCTTTCTCCCATCGTCTTCAATCTCTTACAAGCACCCCAGTATTCTCCGGAGTCCTAGGTGCATAGTCTGCTTCTCTACTGTGAATACTACACTTCTGAATTAACTTGATCTAATGGTTTGCAACGATTCAATCCCAATATCTTGTAAGATCGCAATAACGTTGCAGGAGATAAACAAACTTTTACAACAAAAGTGGAGAAACCACATTTTCCCATTAATGCGAACGACCTTTGTGTGAAAAGATATGATAGGTATGGGTAAATAGTTGATGTATAAGTGAAGTTGTTCATATCCAACAGAGGCTGGATGGTCAAAGATATATACATGTGTGGAGAAGCGCTCCACTTATTCCTACATTTTGACACTTTGAGCTTCTACATCTACAAGGTTGACCGACGGAGGAGCGATTACTGGGTTTGAGATCGACTAGTCAAATTGTACAGACGGCAAATACTTGCGATCAATATATTTTTATACATACCAGCGGAAGGCAGGGCACCAATTGTTGCAACCGGCTGCAATTGAAAACTGACTTCCCAACTTGAAAGAACTATGGTAGCAATAGTCCAGCCTTTGACGATCGTGATCAAGCGCCTGAATATTGGCCCGGTAAGTACTCTTTTCAAGCTTCGCCAGAGTTGGAAGCATCCCAAACAATCTCTTTGATTGACATTGAAGACCTCGCGTGGGGGATCACCCGCCGAATGACGAACCTTTCGTCGGCCGCTGCGAGCAAAGCTTTCCATTCTTGTATAGACCTCTCGCGGGCGTTGAAGCCGCCCAACATGTTCAGATCCATTGATCTGTGAGTTAATGTCAACAAAGATGTCCAAAATGGTTTATTCAAACCAACGCAGGAAAGCATAGAAGTATACCTTATGTGTCGCTCTCTCCAGAGAGGAACCTCGCCTGGACCCGGCATTACTGCGTCCTGTATCAGGATCTTTGCACCTGGTCGGAGTGCCGGAATTTGCGCTTTGAGTATCTTGAGAGAATATTTGTCGGCCCAGTTGTGGAAGATCATGCGGAAAAAGTAAGCATCAGCTTGCACCACTTGCGGTTCGAAAAGTTCATGTGCCTTGAACTCGATGCGCCCCTTGATATCATCAGGCACGCCAGATTCGGCGTCCTTGACGACCAATGCCATATCTTGGACAACTAGCCTGACATTGTCAAAACTCTTTGCCACCTCTATGGCAACATGGCCTCTGGACCCTCCCACGTCAGCGACGATCGCATCACCTAGGGAAGCCCAATCGTAGAGTTTGGGGACTTCGGAGATGGAGTAACCTGGATTATGGTCGAAAGATTTCATGGAAGCTGCAAAGCGCGTGGCCCGCATAGGGTTCGTGCTGAGAACCTCGTAGATTGATTTATCCGTGTTATTGACAAGAGTAAAGCCCTGTATAAATAGATCAGTACGGACCACCGGAGCAAAACAAAACGACCGGGTGTACTTACAGTCTCAGTGGGCTCTTCAGAAGATGGCCACTTTTCTGTTGCGTCTACCACCTGCAGCAATGGGTTTATAGTCAGTCTACTGGTTTGGAATTCTCATTCTAAGGAACGAATAGGGTCATACCCTAGTAGAAGCTGGCCAACCTTCCCGGGCCCCTAGACTAACCCAGGCATTGATATACGGAATGGTCATGAACTTGGAGATTTTTGTGTGTGCCACCATACCAGGCTCAGGCTCCCCCAGTATACGCAAGGTCATGGCGTGCCTGACTAGGCGCCTCACAAGCGCTTCATCGAGCCCAGACTTTTTGGAAATCTCTTCAAAGGAGATTTGACCTCCAGGGGGTATCATATCGACAATGTGGAATCGGCAGAGGGCATCCAGGCTGACCAGGTTGGAAATCTTGAATATCGGTAGCTCTCGCGAACGAAAGGAACCCTAGCGGAAAGCCAAAGCAAGACTTACGGCAGCGAATCTACAGACGAGCGAGAAAGGCTCGAGGAGCAATTCGTGCAATTCGGCCGTTTCGTCAAGGACTGCATCTTGAAGATGGGCAGCGTCGGCAGGGAGGCATTCTGGGTTATCCTCGGCCCAAGAGGGGGGTGGCACTCCCTGACTTGAGAGGAGCTCTTGCAATTCGGCGACGGAAGAGCTAATCTTGTCCGCTAGGGCTACGATTCTGGGAGTTGAGTTGGATGAAGCCATTGTTGCAGAGTAGTGAGATGAACAAACCTCAGTGCCCAGAAGATGCAAGAATAAACGTGGTGAGAACGATATTCAATATAAAGGTCGATGGCAGAAAGGATACTGAACCTGTGGTAACCAGTCCCTTGCTTCGAGCCTTGCCGTTATGCTTGCCACAATGGCGGGGCAATCTTTTGAAACTGTTGGTTACCTACCTAATATAGGTACACAGAATATCACCCAGCAGGTGTCACAACGCGAGGGGTTGCGAGTTCGTGGGCGGGCGTTCTTATGGCCTCCCCACTGAGTACTAGGTAGGTACATACCAACCTAAGGAAGTGCCAAAAGTCCCTATGGCTTTTCTAGTTCACGCCACAGCTCGCAGGGGTCAGGTCGCACCTAGCCTTACCAGCGTGTTGTCTTCTCTGTCGGAAACTACCCGCAGATACGAGCTTTATTGCACAACTAAAGTGTCAATCGACGACCTACATGTGGGTGCGACACTACGTCAGCTCAGGGTCGTAGTATGTAGTATAAACTGTACTAGTGTATATGGCCCCAGAATATGGGTCCATTTAGTATTATAGATGCATTATATTCCACATGGGTTATAGTTATTGAATGATTTAGAAAATCTGACAAGACGTTCAATTGCAGAGGGTCGCATTCAATTCTGACTTGCCAATCTCGCCCCTTTTCGGCTGCAATTGACGAGCTCGGCTTTAGGGCATCCGAGTGAAGAACGACAGGGACACAGATCCTTACTGCACACTTGGTGTTGCAGCTGGGATGCGCCATTAATTGCGTGCTTAATCGTTGGTTAATGCTGAGGCGGGGTGTGTCCCTTTTTCTGTCCATGTCGAATCCCACCATGTGCAGTCCCTGATTCGCGAGCTCTAGGTAGGTCCTGTGGAACATTCCGACGCTGATTCACCAGGACTGGAAATACGGTAATCCGCAAAGGAGAACTACTCGTTCTGTAAGGATTGTTTGATATCAGCACGCCTCCACAGACTAATCTTGTCCGCTTGGTTTCCTGTTTCTTGATGATCCAAATTCACCCATAATAAACTACCATTACCGAATCCAGCTTGATTCAAACTACGTAGTTAAATGAGCAAAGAAAGTCAATATATTGAATTAGGCCCCCAATAGACTTACCCGAGCTTTTAGAATTGTCCCGGCTTTGACGCCAATGGTGTATTGATCGCTCTCGCGTTCATACTCCTTGGCTGTGACGTCCTGGAAGTTGAAGTCAAAGCGTCGAGTCAAGGCAGCAAGAATAAGATACATTTCAGCCCATGTAAGACTGAATGAGCAGGTTGTGTCAGTTAAGAACCTGTTGAGAGTAGACCTCGAAAGAAGTAAAGATTGACCTACTAGATACCCAAACACATCCTTGTCCCTTGTGAGAACGGTGCAAAGCCCTTATTTAGCTTTTTTTCTACGCCTTGAGGTTCATTCACCTGTCCGGATTGAAGGATAGAGGATCTGGATATAAAGCCTCATCAGTATTCATCAGAGCAGCCGTCATAGAAACCGGCGTCCCAGCAGGGATGTAGAGGTCGCCATAGAAGATGTTCTTGTCGGGCGAAATACGGGCCATACGCGATCCGATACCTGAGCTTAGGCGAAGACCTTCCATGATGACCGAAGTCATGTAGTGCAACCTCTCCAGGGCCTTCAGTTTCTTAGTAATGTCTTCAGACGAATACTGTCAAAAGGTATGTTCAATAATCCATAGTTGACCAGCAATACTACCCTACAAGGACGGGGGGAAGGCTTCCACTATATACAGCCACAGTGTGGGTCGCACCCAGCCACCTTATTTCAACAAATACTGCTCGTTCACCGTGTTGAGTACTGCCCGTAGCCGCTGTACAATCGTGGGACTACTGAAAGTTGTAAGCAATTGTTGCCTGTGCATTTTATCTCACAGAATCGCGCTCGAATTTCAGAGAATTGTCATTTAGTTATGTAATCTTGGCTTGTGTGGATGCATATTGTGTACCTAAGTTTGGTACTATAAGGCAGTATGATCGCATTTTTAGGGAGTCATGCTAACAAGGCAATGTCTCCCCAGCTACCCGGGCATTGAGCCAAATGTTTTTTCCCTAGATATGCCACAGCTAATAGCTCTGGAATTGTATCTCAGGCTTCACTTGTTTGGTGCTCTTTCAGACACCGCAGAGTGGGGACCAGAGCAATGACGGCGTGCAACAGCAACAAGGCGGCCGAAAACCAGTCGAACCAGCCCGGCAGGGTCATGGAGTAATCGGTGAACTTGGCTTGCAGAGCCATTCTCTGAGAAGGCAAACCAGACAAGACATTGGGCATGGAAAATGTTTCAATCGGCGGGCCATTGCGGACCAATGTCTTGGGCTTATGTTACGGCCAATTCGGAAAGAGCTGGCTCTAATTGACCTGCAAATGGATACCCACGTGAGGGTGGCCGTCTGCAAATATCATCGTTATGACCATTTCCATGGATGGCAGTTCTCACTCAAGTTCGGAGTGAGACGCAGCAGCAGCAGTCGGATATGTACTGAATGCCATAAGTCTTTCCAGCAGTGTACCAATTGCTGCAATATGCCCAGTGCGGCACGACAGTGGTCTGCTGACTCATTCCGCTGTCACAGTCGAGGTCCGACTTGTCAACAGCGTTTAGCGCCCAGCAGCGGTCCTGCATTCATGTTCCGTTATAATGCACGCAGCCGGAAGACGTTCAAGATCCAGGCTGCGAACCAATCAACTCTTGGACTACGGGCCGCAAATCTTGAGTTGTTTATTCCGTCAACGTCCCCTCCTTTCGTCCAAAACACTCCTATCTCTTCTTATCACTTCAATAGCTTAGCCGCCGGAGGATCGCACTAAGTAAAACACCGTTTGGCTATCGGCATATCTGGTGTCTCGGAATACGTGAGGGTAGAGGGTGATTATGTGCATGTCAAGCCTTGAGTCATCGGCGTCCCATTCCGCAATGAATATCATGCCGGCCTGACGGGGTCCGAGGGCGTGCAATATCTTCACAACGCCAAAATGATGTCAGATCTAGTCATTAAGTCAACATTTCTATCATTCCAAGCGGCCCGTCTGAGCTCTGCTTAATGTCGTGTAAATTCGGCTCGAGCCATCACCTGGCCTATACTGAGACGTGTCATCATGAGACCCATGTGACTGACGCGACCGAGTTATTGTCACCTCGGGTGGCTTTATTCTCATTTCAGGTGATCAGGTGATACGGGGATATGCGGGATATGCTGTACAGCTAGAGTCATCCCTTTACGGCGGCGACATGACACTCAATGGCAGAGGCCGTCACCCATCGTCGAGAGCCGATATCATACTTTTCAGGCCAGGCCGACCTTGCTCCGAGGGCCTCAGATCATATCGTTCGAGACTTCTAGCGGTGCCGAGGTCATTCTAGTGCCATGCTTCGGACCAGCTGAGGTACACGGAGAGGCTGAGGCACTAAGGTTAGGTAGCTGCTGTGGTGGAGCCGTACACCTTACACTACCTACTAGGTATACTGTAATTCCGAAGCGATTGACCGCTAGGCTCAGCTGCCAAGGCCCCAGCTGTCAAAAACGTTTCTGCTCATGTCCATGTGGCACAGGGATGTCCATGGCGCCATCTTTATCTTTAGTGTAACCTATGCATCACTGACAAGCAAGCCAGGATGCATTGCATCAGAGCATACGTATGGTTGCTGTGTATATCTCTAGCTGTGTAGACTGGCAACCGCCACGGTATCTAACAAGGTAAGTTTTGGTAGAACCAAGCAGCGGGAACCGTTTTTTTCAGCCAGTAACCACCGAATATACTTCCCAACCACAAAAGTTACTAATTGCTGCCACATTTTTATTTTGAAAGATGCAAAAATGGTTGTCTATCTGACTCGAAGTAGATTTGGGAAAATAATCGCTAAATAAATATCGAGGACAACATGCTGCTATGTGATCGGTAGTACTAGTAGGAGGTTACTACGGGGTGCAAACCAGGGGCAGAATTGAAAAACCGTTGTGGTTGCTAGTTTAAGGCCCTGAACCGCACAGCGAACTACTGGCAACAAAAACTATTGGCAAAAACGTTCCACTTTACTGGTTTACTAGGTGCTATCAGGCTCCATCTTTATTTATAACCTTTTTATTTAGCATTATTGCCAGTAGATTGACTTTTTCGATGTATTCTTTTGACCAGGGGGCTCGGGAGGCCTAAATTTGGTAAGTTGTGGGGCTTGGCAGTATTTGCGATGCGACCAGCAATGCAAGTAAACTACGATGCAATCATGCAGCTATACAGCCAGAAAATGGTAATACGTACAGCGTTATTGTGCCGGTATTCAATTCTAAGGGCATCGCCAGTCTTTAGTCAACACCTAGTATAGTTCACATTAAAATGCATTGTCAAAAGTGTTATAGCCTGAATTTCTGATACCAACGTCCTCCCCACTGTTTTTGTGCAAACCATTTGTATCTTGCCAGTAGTTTTGTTGCTAGTAAGGCTAAGGGATACGAGTTCAGCCACAGTAGATCAAGGATTGATCCAAGTGGGCATCGCTTAACGACAAACGACTCCAACCGAGGTCGCATCGTATAGTCGTTCATAATCTTTCCACAGTCACTGAAATCTTTGGGCGCAAACTCTAACCTCCCGTCAACCCATTGCTAGCTTGGCTAGGTGTCAATCGCCCCAGTTGTCTGCTGTGCGGTGCCGAAGGCCATATCAGGCTAGGCACAGGAATTCCCATTTCGCTGTTCCGGCCTCCCCGGATCGTTGACTCGCCGACAGCTCACGGCCTTGACGTCCTATACAGACTCTGTCGCTTTTCTAAATCCTTGACACCTGAAAAGGAGCAGTGTTCAAGTGTGCTTGGCCAGAGCAAGTCACTCCGCACCAGCGACCACACGGTCAAAAGTCTCGTTTGTGTGATGTCTCGCTTGTGGGCCGAGTCAAAACTACGATTCATAGGACCTCGCTCTTCAGACTGACTGAGCTGTCCAATAGGCAGCGACCCAAGGGAGTTGGACGTCTTGGCCATGATTTAAGCTCTCAGTGGTCATTCTCATTGAGGTGGAATGCGGCGCACATCCGGAAAGATAATTGGTGGAACATCTTCGTCCGTGGCGTATGGTCAAAGGTGGATATGTAGTAGCCTTAGATGTGGAGGCTCTGCCGGAGGAAAGTACCACTTTCGATTTATTGCCAAGAAGATTTAAACTATAGACTATGGTAAGTCTGACTATGCTGCAGCTGTGTATGCGATCACAGTTACCGAGCATCTGGGTCGCTTATCGCCATTTGCATCAGGGGTACCGCCGAGGACCCCGATGAGAACCTAGCTGAGATGTACTCGGCGGCGCAATGTGAATAGCTTCGTAGGCTAGAGGGTTCCGAAATTCAAAGCAAGGCCAGCCACAATGGAGCCGACACTGAGGAACCAGTGTGAAAGTGCATCGGTCACATCGGAGATCTCTCAGGCTCTTGCATCCTATAAGCTTGGCCATGCCTGCCGTGCCAATCCTCTCATCCCGTCGTCCCAGTCAAGCATCAGAAGAGTCCTGCTGCGACGTGGCCTCCGGTCAACATCATGTGGTCGCTGTTTCTTTACGGCATCCTGCCGGCCTTGGCGGTCGCACAACAAGGTGAGCCATCCGTCCTGCGACGGCGATGTGGCGGCGTTCCAGAGTTATTGCCCTCGACCGTCTCCTCTGCATCAGTCACCCTCTCCACGTTCCTTAGCTCCTCGACCTCGGGCCACAAAACGTTCCTTACCCCTTCCATTGAAGCGTCTTCTTCGCTCTCTTCGTTTTCCTCGGACTCTTCAACGGATTTTTCAACTTCTACAGCAAGTTCAGTTTCGGTACGAAAGACTATCGATCTCGAACTGAGCTCCGGTCGCTCTTCGACTACTCCAGCATTGAGTTATGTACCCAGCTCGACTTCAACTTCCCAAGTTACAACCATCTTCACTGCTTCATATGACAGTGAATTCGGTCTGGAAGCATTCGCCTTGTCCACATCAGAGCCCGTCTTTATAGCATCTGGATCCATTTCGTCTACAGCTCTTTCTTTCACAGCGGCTGGATCTGGTTCCCCGACAAAGCCGGCGGCCACGTTGTCATCTGAACCACGTCCATTGGCAACATCTACTTCGACCAGCAATCTTGCATTTTCTGATTTGATATCCACATCCTCTTTGTCAACATCGCTGACGTCTGTCGTTACCCCCATAGGTTCGACTTCGTCGACAGCAACCTCCACCGATAGCTCACCAACGGCTTCTCCGGTGCTCGGTACCTCGTCCACATCTTCTTCCACAAGTAGGTCGCAATCGAATGCCAATATATGCTATACTAATTAAAATCAGGGTCGTCTTCAGCTGTCACAGTTACGCCTGGCGGGAACATAGCATCGGCCATTGCTTTTGCTCAGAGCAATGGTGTGCCCACAGTGACTATCAAAGCCGGCACTTATACTGAAGCCGTTACTGTTTCTGCGACCGCGGCTGTCACTATCATTGGAGAGACGGTTAGCCTCAAGGCTCGTGATAGTACTGCTCTCAGTGACTACTCGCAGAATCTCGTCACCATTGCAAACGACGCAGCTGCCCCTTTGACGCTGTCGTCAACTGCCATCAAAGGTGTCACGTTTAGAAACATTAACTTCAGTAACACCAACTCATTGTCAGCGCTTGGCGCAGTCTCGCTCAAAGGATCACAGCTTGCATTTTACGGATGCCAATTCGTTGCCGCTGGCCAGGTTTGCATCCAAGGTGGCATCTCTTCGGGCTTAATCGCAGATTCCTACATCGAGGCTGCCGACAAGATCATCTACCAATATCCCTCTCTGTACATCTACAGCTCGGCAATCACAGCCACCGCCAAGAGTGCCAACATACTCTATACGCAAGGAGCCAACGCTGGGACGACACTTTACAATTCTACTGTCATTCTCGACTCCTGCAATGTGTCTCAGAAGAGCGGCTTAACCAACACATTCGTTTATCTGTTCACTGCCAACAACAATGGTTCTGTCGCCCTCTACAGAAACACTACCCTCGGCAGCTTCGTCGCTGCCAGTGGTGCACATGTTGACTCCAAGACTCAGTCACCCCTGAATACCTACCTTGAGTACCTCACCACTGGTGCGGGCAGCTACTCTCAAAACGTTGCCGCTCGTTCTCCATACGTGTCCCTCGCGATTTCTGGTTCTCAGCTCGGACCTTACGAAATCCCTGCGTTCTTTGCCAATGCGAACCCGACGGTTGCCACCACTCAAACATCATGGATGGACCAGGACGTCTTGGGCAGGATCTTGGCCGGCGTCTCGGCGCAGAATTCGAGAACTTCTTCTCAGTCTTCCAGCTCATCGTCATCGAGCACGTCCAGCACGTTCTCGTCCAACACGCCCTCCTCCAATGTAGCCACGTCCAGCATTGCCTCCGACTCGTCCTCCAGTACGGTATCCAGCACGGTTTCCAGCACAGTTCTGAGCGGTATTTTGTCTTCGAGCACCAGTCAAACCACTGTGTCATCTTCCAGCAGCTCTGCCTCTGAAAGCTCCACGGCTACCTCCAGCAATGTCGCATCCTCGGCGAGCACAGGAGGGTGCGTCCTACCAACCTCGGTCCCCTCGACTGCTAGGGTGGTCGGTCCTGTAGGCTCCTGCGCAACGTTCAACAATATATCTGCCGCCGTCGCTGCCCTGCCTTCCGACAGCACCTCTCAGTACGTCTATATCCTCGGCGGTACATACAATGAGCAGGTCACCATCTCGCGTGTCGGACCTACCGTCTTCCGTGGCGAGACTGACGATACCCTGTCATACGGCTCCAACACCGTCACGATTCAGTCATCCTCCGGCGTTGCGTCCAATTCGGGTGGCTCGGCCAGCACGTCGCCATTTCAGGCCACCCAATACTACACAAGCAAGATGTCGTTCTACAACATCAACTTTGTCAACACGTACGCACCACAGACCAACTATGTCGCTGTGGCCTTTGTCGGCAAAGCCCTGAAGACGGGCTTCTATGGATGCAGTTTCAAGTCTAGCCAAGGCACGCTCCTCCTCAACTACGGCGCCTTTTACTTTGCCAACTCGTACATCGAGGGCACTACTGACTTTATCTGGGGTCAAGGCGGCGCGGTAAGCAATTCCCCTCCATCGTGCCGTCGAGTTATTGCTAACGTGTTCCAGTACTTCTACAACTCCAAAATCGCTACATCCGGCGTCATCAATGGCCAGAACATCGCTGCTCAGAGTTATCAAGCATCATTTGGCCCGTCCATTCAGGTATACGACACCTGTGCGATTGTTCCAGCTAGCAGCAGCGTCGCCAAGGGTTCTACCTACCTTGGAAGGGACTACTCAACATCGTCGCGTGTCTATTACATCAACTCTTACCTTGATGAGCACATTGCCTCGGCAGGGTGGAGAGTGACTGGATCATCCGTCAACGTGACTTTTATTGAGGCAAACAACACGGGACCGGGCGCTGCCACGAGCTCGCGCACTCCTTATGCTCAGATCCAGTCGGACACAACATCATACACGCTGGCCTCCCTCCTGGGCGATTCCAGCTGGCTCGATATTTCGGCTATTGCGCCGTTCGCCGGGTTCCCAGAATCGGTCTACAGTGCGACTGCAGTTTCTTCGTCATCGTCATCCTCCTCTACCTCCTCATCTTCCACATCTGTGTCGCCCACCGACTCAACGGCAAGTCTGTCAGCCACGGCTACGACTGTCAGCGATACTTCATCTTCGACCACTGCGACGTTGACTTACACTGTGGCGCCTACTCCCACTGGATCCCAGTTTGGCAGTGTCATGTCCGCTGTCGCTGCGATTCCTGCCGATGGCAAAGCCCACGAAGTCTACATCCTTTCTGGTACCTACATAGAGCAGATCTGGGTCAACAGGACGGGATTAGGCAAAGTCACACTGAGAGGTGAAACGCAGAACCCCAGCGACTACACCGGCAACCTTGTGGCCATTCAGTTCAACTACGGGGTCTCGACGAGCGGCACTGTCTCCAACGAGAACACCCCCGTCCTAAACTGGAAGCGGACTGATGGTTCCGGCCTTGCCCTCTACAACATTGACTTTGTCAACACGTATCCGCAGACACCCAGCACTGCAGCATTGGCAGCTGACTTCTATGGCTCCAACATGGCCGCTTACGGATGCTCATTCAAGGGATACCAGGACACGTTGCTCGCCAATCAAGGTGTTCAAGTCTTCAGCAACTGCTATATTGAAGGGAGCGTCGATTTCATTTGGGGCTACTCAAAGGCTTACTTTCATCAGTGCTACATCGCGTCAAATACCGCGGGAGCATACATCACGGCGCAGAATCGACCCAACTCAGCCTGGGCTGGTGGCTACATCTTCGACTCGTGCTATGTGACCTACACGAGCTCGTACACCGCGGGCAAGACATCTGTAGCTGCCACCACCTACCTTGGCCGCCCGTGGTCGCAGTACGCTGTCGTGGTGTACATGAACTCGTATCTTGACAAGCACATCTCCCCCGCCGGATGGAGTGTGTGGCAGACAAGTAATCCCCAAACGTCAAATGTCATGTTCGGCGAGTATAACAACTCAGGGCCAGGCGCTTGGGGAACATCACGCGCCGAGTTTGCCACAAAGCTCACAGATTCTCAGGCCACTCTTTACACCCTGGACGCATTCATCGGTAACACGGCTTTCATCGATTGGACGGCGTACAACTACTCGCCGAGCTTCTCACTAGATTCAACGCCAACGACCACTGCTTCGGCAACGTCGTCTTCTGTTACGGCGAGTGCCACAGCCTCTGCCACCTGGGCGCACCCTACCAGTGGTACTGTTCCTCCCGTTGGTGCTGTCCTAGTCTCTGTCGAGGGCACTCAGGTCGGCTCCTTTAGCAATTTGACCGATGCTCTGGCCAGCTTGCCTGACGACAGCAGCACTCAGATCATTTTCGTGTACCCCGGCAAATACTCCGAGCAGGTTCCCACAGTCGAACGTGCCGGTCCTGTCATGATTGTTGGATACACTACCGGCAACCCCGGTCAGGCCTATGCCGACAACACCGTCACCATTACCCACGCTCGCGGACTCTCTGTCAGCCCTGTTCCCACGGGTCACTCCGATGCCGAGACGGCGACCTTTGCCACCGCTGGTACCAAAATCTCTCTGTACAATATCAACATTGAGAACTCTGAGAACCTTGATGGGTCCGTGTCAAGCTATGTCACCCTTGCTGGCAGTATCTACGGCCAGCATATTGGATTCTATGCTTGTTCGTTCGTCGGCTGGCAAGACACTCTGCTCACCGGAAACAAAGCTGGATATCAGTACTACGAAAGCTCCTATATAGACGGCGCCATTGATTTCATCTGGGGATACTCCAAGGCGGTAAGTGTATTCTTCCCGCTCAAAGAAGATGGAGCTGACATCTCTGTAGTACTTTAAAGGATGCACGATCGGTGCCAAGAGAGCCGGCTCGGCCGTGACAGCTCACAGCCGGGCCTCATTGACTGCTGTCGGAGGCTATATCTTCGACCAGTGCCTCTTTACCGCCGCCAAGACCGCCACCGTAGACTTGACCGCTTCAGTCTATCTCGGGCGGCCGTACAGTGCTTATGCCCTCGTGGTTGTCAAGAACAGTTATCTGGATGACATCATCGCCCCATCGGGCTGGAAAGTATGGAGTGCCTCTAACCCGCAGACCGACTACATCACCTTTGCCGAGTACAACAACACTGGCCCTGGTAACTGGGAGAATAACGTCGCCGCCAGGGTCGCTTGGCAGAACTGTACTCTGCTCACCAGTGACACTTATTCATTGGCCAGCGTTATGGATAGCACAGACTGGATCGACATGACATACTGGGCCAGCATCGCGACGCCGTCTCCTGCCGTAACCACTACAGATCCAGTGACGGTTGGCACGACAGCATACGATGGCACAACGCCGCCAGCTGGCGCTTACATTGTTTCCAAGACTGCCATTGAGGGTGTCACGACTTACGATACCATACAGGCTGCTTTGGATGTCCTCCCAATTTCAAGCAAGGTCACTCCCACTGTATTCATCTACCCAGGTGTCTATTCGGAACAGCTTGTTTTGAACAAGTCCGGCACGACCATCTTTATTGGTTACAGCCAGAGTCCGAAGGATTATAGCCAGAATCAGGTCACCATCTCGTTCAACAGTGGCATCAGCACGCAATCGGACGCCTCCAACTCGGACTCTGCCACCGTGTATGCCACCGGTAATTATTTCCAGGCAGTCAACATCAACTTTGCCAACACTTTTGGCACGGCCGAAGAGTAAGTTCCAGACGCCCTAACCTCATTCTCCTACTAATAAGCAAACAGTTACGCCTCGCTCGGTTTTGCCGTCAAGAGCAGCAAGTTTGCTGGACTTTACGGCTGCCAGGTCTATGGCAACCAAGATGCACTCCTCGTTAACGGCAATTTATTCGCATCGAACTCTTACATTGAGGGCAACATTGACATGATCTGGGGATCCGGCGCCGGATACTTCTTGAATTCGACAATCGCACCCAACCAAGACAAAATAGCTTTGACAGCCAACAAGAGAACAACCAACACCACGGCTGCCGGTTTCGTGTTCGACCAGTGTAGAGTAACCCCCGCAAGAGGCGCAACGTTCAGCCAGGTCTCGCTCGGTCGTCCCTGGAACGCCTTTGCCAGAGTTGCATGGATTGGCAGCTATCTTGGCTCGTGTATCGAATCAACTGGCTGGGATGTTTGGACCAAGAGCGACCCTCGCACAGACGGCATCGTCTTCGGAGAGTATGGCAACTATGGCCCCGGAGCATCCACAAGTGGACGCGCCGCCTTCGCCATTGAGCTCAGCGATGCTCAGGCTGCCGAGTTCCAAATCGCGAACTTTTTCGCAACAACATCTTGGATCAACCAGACTTTTGTCTACTCCTCGCCATTTACAGCTGCCAACTTGACTGTCCCAAGCTCCTCTGCCACCTCTTCCACGATCTCCACGACTTCATCCACGTCGTCTCCCCCACTGTCCACGTCTACGATCACCACGACTATTCCCAGTACGATCAAGACGACCATCTTGACTACCACTACTGGGTCGACTGTCCTCGTCACCTACACAAACACATTGACACTAGACGTGGGCGCAACTGTTACGCCTGCACCAACGACTAAGACTGTAACTGTCAAGGCCACGTCTACCAACACGAACACAGTTACAGAGGCAAATGCGGTCGTCACTGTTAAGACGACTACCATCATTGATGTCGGAACTACCGTCACACCGGCCACAAGTACCAAGACAGTCCAAAATACGGCTACCGAGGTTCACAGCCAGCTAGTCACCGTGACTGGCAAACCCACCACGGTCAAGTCTAGTACTACTGTTACGAGCTTCGCTACTTCGACCCCCAAGGCATCAACAACGACCTTGAGCGAGGGAAGAGTTGTTACTGTTACCTCGACGGTCACTCCCGGCGCTGCCAAGGTGACAAGCACCACCACCGTCACGATTAACCCGAGCGCCACGAAGACATTGACGCTCAAAGCTACAACATCAACTCTCGTGACCACTACCACTTCAACAAAGACAGCCAAGGCTACGACCACGCTGACTTGCATACCCGCCGCCAAGATGGCCAAGCGTGGTATTGCTTTCGGCACAACCGATGCAGCGCCAGTCTTTCCCAGGGCCACGTCTGCAGGCGCACCAGTCACTACAATCACCGTGATTTCATTCTTTACCAGTGCCACAACGAAGACCGCCAGCGCTCCTGGCGTCACTTCGACCATCATCGTGGACACCACCAAGACGACGGGCAAGACAAGCACACTAAAGCCTGAGACAATCGTGGAGACCACGACGGCCATCGCAGTCAAGCCTGCCACAGTCACAGTGCCCGGCTCGACCTCTACAGTCACAGTCGTCAATACCAAGCAGACTGGAAAGACTACGACTTTATCTGCAAGCGTCACTACCGTTGCCAACACGGTCTTTGTGACCCGGACATCCTCGTTGACAAGCACTCTTCCTGGACTTACCATCACTGACGTCGAGACGGCAACCAAGAAGTCGACCATCACGCTGGAGGCCTCGACCATCACCGTGACCCAGAGTAGGTACACGACTGTCAAGACGATCATCACTTTGGCAACACCGACATCGACAGTTTTGAAGACGACCACGTTGTCGCTGACGCCCAGCGTGACCGTGACTGTGCAAAACACGTCGACCAAGACCAAAATCAGCACAGTCGTCGCGACGGTCACGACCACGATGACCAAGACGAAGAACGGTGCGCCAGCATGTACAGCGGCTTGATGGAAAAAAAAAGTGACAGACGCCAAATCCATGCCCTTGTCGGAATGGACATATACATTGCAAACCCACTTTGAGTTCTAATTTAGAATCAATTGTAATGAAACGTATTTCTATTCTTCCAATGATGCTTTACATGTCTTGAATCTTCTAACATCGCACGCTAAACATACCATGAAGAAGCCTAACATGACATTATTGACTCCAGAGGTTAGGCTGTAACCTGTGCAGTGTGGCGAAGGATAATCAGGATAATCAATATTATCACAGCTTCGCCATTCGTCCCAGGACAGATAGGAGGAGGCCATACTAATGAACTCGTGGAAGTCAGGTCTATTCACGCACCTGATGGCGAGATGGTGAGGAAGATGCCGAGGAGAGAAAGTTCTCAACACAATAGTTCACCGAGTGCGATGTGCACTTATTTATCACGCCCTAGATGAGTATGTGGCCAGGATATGGCCAGCCTGCTGCTATGCTGCATTGGTGGTGCCACAAATTTGCAGGACACCCATCGCCCAATCGCCCCCTCGATGCCCTAGATAACAGCCCTCGCAGCCTTGCTACTTTGTGTGTGTGTGTGTGTGTGTGTGTATCCGCCCTGGGGCAAATTTGATGTTGCATTTTCATAAGTCTCGATAGATGTCCATCTAAACATCTGGTTGTCATGGTGGGCTCGATGCAAGAACTGCCAACCAACTTGAAGCTCCGGTATCCCAAGTCTTTGCTGCCTCTGTGCCTGAATCTCGCGACATGGCCTTTAAACTGTTCTCTTATCCTCGAGTCCCACTACCAAAACCTAATACGATTGCCGTCGCGACAGTCATTATGCAAGATCAAGAAGAGTCGACATCAACTGGACGTGCAGGCAACCAAAGTTGCATATTTATTGTCAATTTGCGAAATCTATTCCGTCCTAAACCCAAGGCCAGCCATCCATTCATTTCCGAAAATGCCATTCCAGAGCTGCCATTGTGACATCCACGTTGCGTTGAACGACTCAAGGCGTTTATGCATTCTCGACCAAGGTGCCTTGTCGCGACTATTATCAGCCAAGAATGTGCCAACTTGTTCACTACCCAACCCATGCTACAGGCAATCATCTACAAATGTTGGAACAATATTCAGACCTTGCGAATCTTCCTAATTTCGCCTCTCTTTCCAAGGTGTTCTTCCCTTGCTCCTTTGTGCCCCTCGAGTGCTTCAATCACGATCTTGTACCTGCGGACCCAAATTTCAAATGCCGAACCAACAACTTTACAATAGTCACATATCAACATAGAACAGCGGCCACGGGGTCACTTATACACGTTCGTGGATACTATGTTGATGGACAACAGTGGGAAGGGCTTGCGCGGGCTATGCGCCCAGTCCATCATTCTTCTGACTAGATACATTGCCGATATCCTTGCCCCTTCACTCATCTTTCCAGTCATTCAAAATCGCAAGCGATGACAGATACTTTGGATGATCTGAACCCAATACCTGTTCCCGCAGGTTTACACAGCGTTCCAACATTGGTATGGCTTCATCAATGCGACCCAGCGAATCCAATGTAAAGGCCAGATTATGCATACTCAGCAGCGTGTCTGGATGATCCGGTCCCAGTTTCTGCTTGCGAATTTCCAGTGCTTTTTTGTGCAGCTCCTCCGCTGCCTCCAGTTGGCCTTGGTTTCTATACGTTATTGCCAGATTATTCATG